TTAGTTCTATAGCAGCTAACTGAAATCCATGGGAATAAAAAAATCAAAACTGAAGTAACTTGGCTGATTTAATTTAGGAGGTGGATTCCAGCAATCCTATTAGTGTGAAAGCAGAAGGGAGGGGGAATAAGGGGTAAAGAATAGATGAAGTAGGTAACTAAGGGTTACAAATTAAAAATGTCTAAGAAATCTGGGAAAGAATCTTGTTGATGGCATGGGAGATATAAGAAATTTCCAGAAGTCACTGAAGCCATGGGAAGACACTCCAGGAATCTGACCAAACAAAAAGGCAAGAATTTTGCATGCAGACAGTTTTTCCTAGTGAATTTACAGGAAAACATTGACACTTGCAACTCTTTTCTGTCACCTAAAACAAACATAGTTTAAAATATTTGCATGTAGTAAACAATTTCATTATATATATATATATATATATATATATATATATATATATACACTGTTTTAAAAACACAAAAAGACCAAATTCTGCCTGGTGTAAGCCCAATGTAACGAGAAGTGGAATTTGCTACAGAATGCCTTTCAGCAACACAGCATGTGAATCTCAGCATTACTGTGAAAAAGAGAGACCCCCAAACTGACAAGCACTACTCTAGTACTAAGGCTGAGGAAGTTCTGAGGGACAGAGAGAGCAAAAGCTTGCTGTGCATATGGGGGTGGAGGCGTAGGAGTGGGAGTTTGGGGAGCTACTGAGACTCTGTTGTGGGGAACCTGTTCCAGCTTGGGAAAGGGTGTTCTGACAATTCCTACAGCTGTTCCTTGGTATCTGGTGCCCAGTACTTGGGGCTCCCCTCTGCCCTCAGCAACTGGTGCCCTGTGTACTGACATCCCCCTCCCCCCTGTATCTCCTCCCAAACCTGGTCCCTCAGCACCTGCTCCTGCCCCTCCTTCCAGCCATGTGTCTCCACCAGGAGCTGGGGTGGCTAGAAGGTGGGAAGAGGAGAGCAGCAGGCCCAATCTTGTGCACAGTGGCAGCCACTCCAGCCCCTCTGCCATGTCCTGCTGTAACCTCTGTCAGATATTGTGGGGGCAGAAACATATTTCAGCCCTCCCAGGATTTCTCTTGTGGAGGTTGCAGCCTGCTTAGTTCCACCATCCCTGCTGGGTAACTTTATCACAGCATTCTACATTAAACTAGATTATGCCTAGCTATCAAGTATACTAAAGGATCCTGTAACCATTAGCAATATACAGTAAAATACTGTCTGCTTGGGAAACGGGTACAAAGTAAGGTGGGAGCACGTTATGAGTAAATTTTTTTTTTTTAAATAAAAGAAAGTGAGTTGAAAATGTCTGTTAGGCCAAAGGCCACTGCAGAAAGGACAGCTGGGTTTCTGAGGAAAATGGGGGTCTAATTAGTCCAGGAAAACATAGGGAGAGAGAGAAAGCATTAGGACAGGGTAACAAATAATAAATATATCCAAAGGAGTTGAGAAAGGTGTTTTTAAATATGCTTCTGAGTTTTTTGTTTAATGTACTGAATATTTTGTCTCCAACTAGTTATAATATAAGGCCCTGATTCTGCAATCTGATCCACAAAAATGGACATCCAGCCATATAGAGCCCTAAGGACCTCAAAGGGACTCCTTATTAGTATGCATAGATCACATTGCAGGATTGGGGCCCAACTGTCCAAGATAAGTGACTGATTGCATTGGGAGCAAGGCTGGCCCCTAATATTGTAGAGACTGTTATTAATTCCTTCGTGTGCTATACATATTTGCTTAAAGACCCTGCAACCTTCCTGTCTTTTGTATTCAAGGCAATACTCCAGTCATGGAAATACAACAGGATACTGCTTCATGTTGTACTACTATTATGTATTTTGAGGGAGCTTTTTATTTAGAGTGGATTAAACATCATGCGCTTGCCTTTGCTCTCCCTCCCCCCAAGAATTCAGCTCTCTGGTATTTAGTTCCTCTCAGGCTATTTTCCTTTCATTTGCCTTATTAGTAGGTAGGTCACTGGCTGATGCCACCTACTGTGGGCATCTAAAGGCTTTTTTCTTTTGTTTCTTTTTCTCCTGAAGCTTGAGAAGTTACCACTTTTTAGTAGTGATACACAAAAGGTATAAAAATAAGTTTAAAATCCTTTGATGAGAAAAACTTTATACTGCACCTTATTTTTAAAGCCATGTATAGGTTACATTAACCACTCATTCAAACAGCTTAAATTGACTGGAGATGGTGAAAAATCCAAATGTTTAACAGATATATGATATATTCATTTCCTCTCATTTTTTTACAGTTCTTTTCATCTAAAAAGGTTTGCTGTTTTCCATAGTGTGAAACCTCTGGAAGCTCTGGAACGTCAGAGCTCAGCTTTGCAGCTGAAGATGGAAGGGCAATTTGGTATAAATTCCTATTTTTCTGCATAACACTTCACTCATCCTTAATGAAGATATTCATATGAAGTTCACACATACAAACACACACACTTTTATCTCTCTGTAGCCAAAGTTTATCCATATACACAATAAAATCTTCCATAGTTCAAGTGATTGTTGGGGTATGTATGCTAGGGCTGGGGCCAAAGACAGACCTGGTATATGGAAGATTTTATGGTATTTATGGATCAAAAATTGGCTATAGAGAGGTGAAAGCATGTGTGTGTTTGTATGTGCGAATTTCATATGAATATCTTCATTGAGGATGAGTGAACTGTTATGCAAAAAATAGTAATATCCCTCTGTATAACATATACCTTCACCCATTTTTGGCATTCCTGCAACAGAACCTTTTCTGAGATTTTGGAATGGTCAGATAAGCTTTCCTGCTTTCTCCTAGTTTACAGGTTAAATATACCATAAGAAGAGTTCTCTCTCAATCTGCCATCCTTCCCTTTAATCCTCTCCCCTCCCACCACATCCTTTCCCTTCATCCTGTCACTGACTTTGAAGGTCCCTACTAATACTCTTTCTATGCTAGACCTTGTCTTCTACTGGCTCCTGACTTCTAATTCTCCCTTCATGATACCCTCTCTGTGTTTAATTTCAACCTCTCCTTCCCAAACGGCTTCTTTTCCTTTTCCTTCCACCATGACATTATGCTCTTTTCTATAGAATTCCTCTGTCCTATACAATTGATCACTTCTGCCTCTCCAGCCATCACCCCTGACCTCCATTTCACACTTGAGCTCCTTAAATATTCTTTCTATTCCCAGAGCTACAGCTTACTGTCTAATGCCCTCTTGGATCCTCTGAAATCTGACTTCTGCCCATTCCACTTAACAGGACGGCCTTCTTTGACCAAGTCCCAGATTTCTTCTCCATTATCCTCTTCCATTGCACCTTCTCATCCACTTCTCTCTCTTCCCTGGATTTTGTGCTTCTGTACTCAATGGATTCTCCTTCTGCCTCACCAGTCCCTCCTGAGATGCCGCTTCCTCCCCCTTTCTTGCTTTTTGTCAGTGTTCCTTGGGGCTCCTTACTTGCCACCTCCTCCTCCTTACCTATTCCTGGTAATCTTATTTGTTTTCATTGCTTCAATTACCATCACTATTCTCACTATTCCCAAATATACCCTCCATTTATAGTTTCTGCTCCTTGGTCTAGTGGTGCATGAAAGCATGTATCCAAAATGTATCCTCTATTTTCAGCTTAAATGCAACACAGCAAAAACAGAGATTACCTGCCCCACCCTGAAATCTCCCCTCTTTCTTCATTCTCTATCAACATCAATAATTCAGCCATCCTCTCCATCTTCCTGGCCTCCCTGATTCTCATGTTAAACTTCTTTGGTCTATCAAACATCTCCCCACCGAAATTACCTTCCTTATCTATCACTCCAACTGTATCACCACACTTCTCCTTGTCTCTTTATCACTTTCCAATCTCTTTATATATTGTATGCGAGCATCTTATCTTCATCTTCAACGCCATAAGTGGTTCCACCCCCAGCATTGGGAATTCAGCTTTCTTTGATGCTCCTTTCCTTATTGGTTTAACTTAACAAATCTTTTCTCATCACTTTGGGAACTACTATTTTTGTACCTTTCATTAGTACTTCCAAAACCATGGAAAGCTCCTCTTTACATGCTGGTGAGAAGTGTTGATTTCTCCATCCATTACTTGCAGCTTGTATTACTGCTTGTCATGTTTTACTCTTAGGGGCTTCTCTTTCCAACTCATCCCATATTTCTGGTGATAGAGCAGGGGATGTGTTTATCACAGTCACATGCACTCTTATTCCTTGTTACAGATCATGTGTAAGTCTGATCATCTGGTTGTGTGTAATCAAGCATAGGACGTGCTCTTGACAGTGTGTCTGCAATTAGGAGGCAACATCTGATCTGGAATTCTGGGATCACATCATACTTTTGAACTTTCAAAGCTAACCCCTAGATCTAGAACTGGTCAGAAATCCTCTGACTGAACGTTTTTCCACTGGAAAATGCTGATTCACTGAAAACTAAATGCATCTTTGGTGTATTCCTCCAACTCTTTTCTTGTTTATTGCAATCTTTGGTATATGGGTGAGTTCTAGCTTTACAGCTACAACCGTAGAGCTACAACCTTGAAACTTTGGTCAGCCACATGCAACGCCTGCCATCCTTTTTTTTTAGTTTGTGTGATTTGCTTTGCCGCTGTCAAAGCACTCACCTGCTACCAAACTGAAGCATCTACACAACAGATTTTAATATCCCATCATTTGAATAAGTGCTGCAAGTAGAGAAGTTTCTGTGTTAGGAGATCATTGTGAAGGCTATGGAACCATGGAAGACATACTTGAAATAGCCAGGAAAAAGGGAAAGGTTTTTACTGATTGGACTTGTTTACACAGAAGATTCAAGACTGTTACATCCAGGGTTTTTTTGGGGGAGGGGGCAGGAGGTCAGGGGGGTTGTAATACAAATTACTGAACTTGGAAAGACTGGCATATGTTGCAGATATGATGTGTATGTTATGTTACCAATATGAGGATGTCAAATAGGTGGAAAGCAGAGGGTGAAAGATTTTTTGTACTTTTTTATGTTTATTGTTGTTCATATATATGAAAGGATAAATAAAGAGTCACAAAAAAGCAGAAAAACAATTATACAACCTTTAGCAAACAAGAAAATCTTTCAAAATTGATTAATTTGTAGACTGGGCTAAATACCATTTGTGAATTTTTAGTAATGATGTGACAATTACATTTTTAAAGTTAATCAGGTACAGAGGAAAATGTATCAGTATCCAGTGGAAACAGAATATGAAACCCCAGTACAGGTGGAAGTGTTGGAAGTAGATAGACATCAGGAAAAAGTTGAACAACTCATAGGTTGAAATGTATTTGAATAAACTATTTGGTAAATATTTGCTGTACAAATAATGAATATACAGTAGTACATATGTATGTCAAAATCAGGCTTGATTTGCCAGCAAAATAGGAGGCTACTATGAATGTTATTTACAGTGAATATTATTTCCAATGAAAAATTGAAGCTTTAGTAACTATGAAGTATAACCATCTCAACTGGATCTGGAGAGTATCTCTCTGTTATCAAAAAGAATGAGGAGTACTTGTGGCACCTTAGAAACTAACAAATTTATTTGAGCATAAACTGTCGTGGGCTAAAACCCACTTCATCAGATGCATGCAGTGGAAAATACAGTAGGAAGATACATGTATACAGAGAACACAAAAAAATGGGGGTTGCCATACCAACTCTAACGAGACTAATTAATTAAGGTGGGCTATTATCAGCAGGAGAAAAAAAACTTTTGCAGTGATAATCAGGATGGCCCATTTCAAACAGTTGACAAGAAGGTGTGAGTAACAGTCAGGTGAAAATTAGCATGGGGAAATAAATTTTAGTTTGTGTAATGACCCATCCACTCCAGTCTTTATTCAAGCCTAATTTAATGGTGTCCAGTTTGCACATTAATTCCAGTTCTGCAGTTTCTCGTTGGAGTCTGTTTTTGAAGATTTTTGTTGTTGAAGAATTGTGACTTTTAGGTCTGTAATTGAGTGTCCTCTGACTGGTTTTTGAATGTTATAATTCTTGATGTCTGATTTGTGTCCATTTATTCTTTTGCGTAGAGACTGTCCAGTTTGGCCAATGCACATGGCAGAGGGGCATTGCTGGCACATGCTGGCATATATCACGTTGGTAGATGTGCAGGTGAACGAGCCCCTGATGGTGAGGCTGATGTGATTAGGTCCTGTGATGGTGTCCCTTGAATAGATATGTGGACAGAGTTGGCAACGGGCTTTGTTGCAAGGATATGTTCCTTGGTTAGTGTTTTTGTTGTGTGGTGTGTGGTTGCTGGTGAGTATTTGCTTCAGGTTGGGGGCTGTTTGTAAGTGAGGACTGGCCTGTCTCCCAAGATCTGTGAGAGTGAGGGATCGTCCTTCAGGATAGGTTGTAGATCCTTGATGATGCGCTGGAGAGGTTTTAGTAGGGGGGCTGAAGGTGACGGTTAGTGGCATTCTGTTACTTTCTTTGTTGGGCCTGTCCTGTAGTGACTTCTGGATATTCTTCTGGCTCTGTCAATCTGTTTCTTCACTTCAGACCATGGGTACTGTACTCTTAAGAACGCTTGATAGAGATCATGATCAATGATACTTGCAGAGTATGATACAGACAGAGGATTTTGTACTGGGTTACAGGGAAGTAGGAAGGTTGTCTAGCTGATACACTGTGAAGGAAACAGCTTAAAAGCAACTTTAATGGTAATTCATAGTTTTCTGTTGGCTCATTAGCTCTCACAGTGCAGAATACTATACTGCCCTAATCAGTACAGCTGGTGTTTGGAATTGGGTTTCTTGACAGTTGTTACATCCAGAGCCTGCCTTCTTACATTGCCTTGGACCACTGGAAAAAATAACAACCACAGCATGTTTAATTTCACTGTCATAAATATAAGGAATGAATCACGTACAATTACTTCTGGATTCTCATTAATAAATTTAATAATCTCTTTAGAAGTCTTTGGCAAAACATCCAGTGAGAACTGAGGGATTACAGGCTTTAGATTTTAATGAGAATTGGTTGTTTGTGGTATTTCTCATTTTGTCACAATCCATTGTCAAAAGAACGTGCATTCAAATTTCTGTGCTTTGACTCCCAAAACTGAAGTATTTGCATCATTCATATTGTCTAATTCTGTGAATTGTACTAGTCATTTTACATGTGTACATTTGATTTCATTGGCCATTGTTTAATTTCTTTCCCTTGTTTATAGGCAGTACAGATTTTTAGGAAGGAATGCAATGCCCAGCTGTCCAAAATAAAAAATAATGAAAAGATCAAAGTAGTGCAGCTTGCCAAAATATTACACAAACTATGTTAGGTATTTATATGTTTGATGCCTTATTCTCATGACAGAGAGTTGCAAGAACAGAAAGTGGCATAACATCAATCTAGTTTTGTTACAAATAGTAATAAAAAGGGGACTTGGTGCAAATGCATCTATTTTCATGACAATCTCAAGATAGTAATGTCTAGGTCCTCTTCAGATGCGATAGCAAAAGGACCTTTGAAATGCTAGTGTATTCTTCTATGAGTCACAAAGGTACCGTACACAGTAATTTGTTTCCTTCAGAGATGGCTATGCTATTAGGCCAACAGGAACTGATCACGAGGATACCACTATTGCTGAGATGGGGTCATGCAGAGTGGAAATATGAGCTCTATAACCCTTGATCCTCCCCTCCCCCTTTCCTCTTTATTTTGATTCCTTAACAATGCATGGTTGGCAGACAAAAACAATGGAAAGTTCCAATCTCTTTTGTTTGGCTTGGGAAAAACTCAAGACAGCTCAGTTTTGTTTTTACCTAAAACTATGTCTGGGTTTCAATTAAAAGGAGCTACTTTAAGTTTGCTAGACTGTGAAACACTATTTGAAAAAAAGCCATAGTTGCCCATCTATGATCGAAGCAACAATGAGCAGTCCAACTTCTCACTGTTTGTCATAATAAAACTAAGTCGTGTTTAATTTTAATAGGCTAAGGATGGATGGATAATGGATTTTTCAAAAAAACTGTGTAGTATTTTATGTCTAATTATTATACTACTACTTTAAAAATCAAGATAATCATATATTAGAAGTCCTGTATCATGGAAATGACAGTAAGAGAAAGAATCACAGATTTCAGCGACAGTCATCTATGCAAACTTAGGTGCTTAGCAGTGCTGATGAATCCCTTGGCATCCTTTATGGAAGTGTTAATGTTTTACTGTGATGGGAAGTTGAATTACTTGTGAAATTAAAAGTAGTAAATTCAAGACTCCTAAAAACAGATAACTGGAATTTAAATATATACTATAAGTTAAGATTGGCAGAGTCAATTTCTATGTTTTACGTACACCTGAACGTGAACCAGTAGCAGATATCTGAACACCTCTCAGACTTTGAGGTAGTTTTAGAATCTGATAATTATACAATTGACTTCACTGGAGCAATACCAATTTATATCTGCTCACGAGCTGACCTTATCACTGTGGCTTTGTGAGAGTTGATGATTTTACTTCACATGAATTTTTGAAAATATTTTATTCAATTTCATTTGGGGACAATCTGCACACCTGAATTTCACTTTGAGACTTCAGGTTTGAAAGAAGTGAAAGCAAAACTCAGCTGAGGCTAGAATAGAAGTGGCTGTCTGTCAGAATTATGTTTTATGTTTAATCACAAATTATGAATCTTTCAGCACTATATATATTAATTGACTCAAATTCACTCAAACAGGATTCATGTTTGCTCCAAACTTGGTCTGTTTTATCATGATCATTATTAATAATTTTTTTCACCACAGTAAAGAATGGCATGTATTGTAGAATGAAGGGAAGACATGGGACAAAATCCTGGCTCCACTCAAGTCAGTGGCATAACTCCCTTGATGTCTGTAGGGCCAGGATTTCACCTGTGCCTTGTTCTTAAGAGTTTACAATCTTAGGTTATACTTCTGCAGTCCATCCCAAGTTGGACAGTTCCTTGCACATGTGCATAGCCTTTCTGACACATGGGACTCTTTGCAATAAAAGAGCCTGTCTGCATGAAGCAGATATTAGGGTAGGTGTTTAATTTTCGACACGATACAAACAGGTGAGGTCATCAAACACTAAAGAAGGGATGTGATGAGGAAGAATAAGTGTTAATGTAATATGACTGCACAGTACTCATTTAAGTCCTATAGTTCAATAGTTTGTGGAAATTAGCAAAACTTTCAACAATCTTCCTCTCAATTTTACATTTGTAACAAAACCCAGAACCAGGTTGAAGTCATTTGAGGCTTCCTTGCAACCATTAAGCACAGCTCTAAATATTGATTTAGCTACATAGAAAGACTAGACTCCAAATTTTAAATTATAAGCAGTTTTTTTTTAAAAATGGTATGCCTGGGGAAAAATACTTTAGTCTGATTATCTTCATTTAACCCTAAAATGATTAGGCCTTATTACATCTGATGAGCTCTCATAGTTCAAGGGTTCTTTACATTTTGGTTGCAAGAACCCATGGGTATGCTGCTAAGAAGATAAAAAAAAATTCATAATACATAGCTCTGATGAAAAAGTTAGCTAATAGGATAGCTGTAGACTGAATTATGAGCTTTTCCCCTTTTTCTTTTCTATGCTTTCCCTTCTTTTAAAAGAAGAAGGACCAGAGATAAGGTTAGGAGTACTTGTGGCACCTTAGAGACTAACCAATTTATTTGAGCATGAGCTTTCGTGAGCTACAGCTCACTTCATCGGATGCATACCGTGGAAACTGCAGAAGACATTATATACACAGAGACCATGAAACAATACCTACTCCCACCCCACTCTCCTCCTGGTAATAGCTTATCTAAAGTGATCATCAAGTTGGGCCATTTCCAGCACAAATCCAGGTTTTCTCACCCTCCGCCCCCCCCCCCAACTCACTCTCCTGCTGGTAATAGCCCATCCAAAGTGGTTCTTAGAGGGGACAAGAACACCAGCAAATAGAGAACACTGGCATATCAGTTTATGTCAGTTCTCAAACTTTTGTACCAGTGACCTCTTTCACATAGCAAGCCTCTGTGTGCGACCCCCTTTTAAATTAAAAACACTTTTTTACAAATTTAACACCATTATAAATGCTGGAGGCAAAGTGGGGTTTGGGGTGGAGGCTGACAGCTCATGATCCTCCCTTCTAATAACCTTGTGACCTCTGAGGGGGTCCCGACCCCCAGTTTGAGAATCCCTGGTTTGTGTGAATGTTCATTGCAGGGCATCTTGACCTGGAGATTGAGAACAGTTGTTAGAAGGTCAGGACCATCCTGCCATTCCAGTATTTCTAAATGGCAACAATGTCTTGGCTAGCTCAGAGGATCTTACTGGGGGCTTCCCAGTGTGGAAAAGGTTGAGAACACATGGTTTATCGCCCATCGCATATTTTTATTTTTGAAAGCTGCGGAATGATGCTATATTCTGTCTTCTTTCAAAGCAGCAATAGGCATAGTTAGGGGAACCCCATTGGAGTGAGCCCTATGAGACTAGACAATTACAGGGAAGAATTGTCTTCCCCATCCTCGAACACAGCTGGGGAGGAGGAATGAGGTGTTCTTATGCAAGACTGGGTGTAACTGGAGGAGGTGGTAGAAATATCCATCTTCTTGGGGGGGAACTGGAGAGGAACGCTCTCCTTTATCTCATAGGAGACCTAGGAACAACAGCAGGAGGTTTTGGGGAGACTTCACATAGCAGCAGGTTGGGTGGGGGCAGTAGGACAGGAGGGTGTCGAATTATACCATGCAGGAAGTAAGTTCTCCTTATAGCTTGTAGTGCTAGCAGCAGAAACACTGCTGACAGCATGCAGTGATTAGGGACATTCCCTATAAATTCATTTTTTCCTGCATTTGGAGACAGAAGTACTTTACACTGTTTTCTTCATTTTTGTATGATGATTTAAAAAGACTATGGGCCAAATTTTGCCATTGGATTTGAGCACCCTCTCTCATCAACTTCAATGGAAACTGCATGCATGCATCTGAGGATAGAATTTGGCCTGGTGCACAGTTTTTATTCACTGTCTCTCTTCTTTAATGTTCAAAAACCTTAAAGATTATTTGGATATAATACATGAAAGGAAAAACAATACCTGAAAAAGGATAGGGAACAATTATTCTCTGTTTCAAGAGTGAACTGCCTTAAGTGAGCAGAAATCAGTCACAGGAGGCTGGTTGCTTCACTTATTTTTCTAACTGCTCTAGGCAAATAAAGATTAAGCCATTCTTTTATCAGGCAGGCCCTTTCTCCACTATAAAGATATAATCAATCTAAACCAAAGGCAACTTGCAGATGTATAGAGGTTTTCTTGCAGGTTTCAATGCTACCTAAAGACAAATGTTTAGGGTTAATTTTGGTTTGGCCTTAACTACAACTTATTGAGCAAAAATGCAGGTAAAAACCAAACACCTGAAATAAGCCAAACATTTTAATAATAATTTGCAAAACAGTTGATGAGTCATTTGTATAAATAACATATTTTGCAAAAAGCATGTTAAAGTAATGCAGTATTGTAAAATGTTGGTATCTACTGTACAAGATAGTTTCTTTTGCTCAACAGACGATCAAAATGATGATGGATAAAATAAACCTTTTTCTCATTGAACCATTTCAGCCCTTTTTATGTTTAATCTTGAATCCTTTTTTAAACCAGATTATGGTTTAGAGATGTGCCAGAAAAGTTCAGGTATCCTAGGTTGCTTGTAGAGATTAGCAACGTTTATTCCAATATAAACTCTCGCCCCTTTGCTCCCCACTGACCTTTGATGTTTTAATAAAGTGGACCTTAAATCTGAACCAGTCTCCGGTTTTGTTCTGCAAAACATGATTGATTTTATATTTCACAACCCAGCTCGAAAATCACATGCACCTCAGTTTATCCATAATAGAGGGGACAAAAATAAAACCTTTTTTCTCGAACTCAGAAAAAAATCTGAGTGTCTTCAGTCTTTGGTGATCAGAATAAAAGGGAATGTAGACTCAAACGACCAATGGTTTGAGTTTAAAAAATGCAAAACTTGGCCTCTTTCCCCTCTCTAGCTACTTTTGTGGTTATTTAAGTGTTGCTAGACCTTAGCTGTGTACATTTTTTTAAAAGAAAGCTACATGAAGTCACAGAACCAGGAATGGTCCTGGAGTCCAGCGGAGGCTTTTCTTTAAATAAAAAAAGTTTACTTCAATTTTATATCAAGACCTGCTACCAACAAAGATGGTGCTGTTCAAAGCAAAGCAGTCATTAAAATGAATAAGACCATAAGAGAAGTGGAGATATATCAGAGCCTAGTACTTTTACTCTGGCATCAGGTTACCTCACTACCCTTGCTATACTTTCTACTTTGTGCTTCACAACTTTTTTAACTTTTGCCCATTTTTTGCGGTTCTTACTTAGTTTTGAAGTTGGTGGGAGTTTGTCTGAGTGAGAGCTAGTAAAACTGGAGGGCCCACCTGAGCATGCAAGATCTGCACATAGCAGGAACATCACAATGTGCAAATATTTCCCTCCCATGCACAGGATTGGAAATGTTAACTACTTCCATAGTAGTGCTCTCCCTTTCCCCACAGAGCCATGGAAGGTTCATTCTAGTTGGACTGGGCTTCCTGGGAAGGAATGGGCAGGCTGGAGGTGGTAGGAGACAGAGGGACATAAATTGACCTCTGCCCCCCTGCCAGTAGCTCCATGCAGATTCCCCTAGAAATATGATATAGCCTGGGAACTGGATTTTCATGTACCCATCTTATGAAGAGGGGGGCCTCAAGGGCTGTTTCCAACTGGAGAAGTCATACTCCCAGGGAGCAGGGGTCTACCAGCAACGCAGAGCCACCACAGAAGCCCAGAGCCTCTGCATGGATTTTCCTGTTTCATTTTGTCTTGGCATTTCCCAACTAATTCCAATTTTGCATTAGAACAACTATAATGAATCCTATTTGTGTGAGTTCAATACATTTTAAAGGACCAGTCACAGGTGCACTTGCTGCCCTTGGAGGAGCTCAGGGATTGCTTCCTCGGTACCCTCACTAGCCCCATTTAGACTATGAAAAAGAAAGGAGGTGTTTGTTTGAAACATGTTAGCCAGGGCTTAGAGAAGGTTTAACACATTTTAAAGGTGGTAGGAGCCTACAATTCCAGCTAATACTTTAAAAGAACCAAAAGCAAAAGCCACCTTTTTTCAAAGTTGAGATAAGGCCACAGTGGCCCACATCACTCCAGAGATGTTGGGGAAGAACTCTGTTTCCCTGAGGCACAATCCCGCCCAGTGATTCCCTGAAGGAGCAGCAGCTCTATACTGTTCCCAGCAGTGGCCTCTTGCCGTATTCACCCAGATCAAACCTATATGATAGCATTTGAACTAAGGCACAGGATCCCAAAGACTGGCAGTTTGGATACAATCTCATTGCATTTTAAGTTCAGTGTTTTCATTTTGTTTGGTATACACTGAACTCAATGTGCTGTACAAGTCACACCTTGTTAAACATTTTAAATATTGAACTATTTCTGATAGATATAAATATTACAGTTGAATTCGTAATTGGAACACTACTTTTAAAACTTTCTCTGTTTATTTTTGTTGTATGTTGGAGATCATCTTGTTAATGCTAAACCAAGGTAAAGCCAAAAGATCATGTGTTTCCTGCAGTGATTATAGCAATAGAGAGGTTTGGCTTTTCTTTTGTGGAAAATGCTGTGAATTATTAATTATTCCTCAAAAAATTTAAGTGAATTCAAACAGTTCTGGATAAGCTATTTTTCATTCAAAAAGGCTAGCATTCAGCAGCCCATATTCATTAACACACCAGCATTTTGTATTTAATTATTGCATTTCATTCACACAGCAGATAAAGATGGTAAATTAGTCAATTGCAGATGAGAACTCTGAGCCTACTAGACGCTGATTTGTCTGTCAGCATCCAGGAACTTGCAGCATAAGGCACAGCTGCCCTAACCGTACTTTGTCATGTAGAATAGAACATCAGTATACATATGTGTCAGTCGGCTGGAAAAATGCCCTTTCCCTCAGAGTGTCTCCCACTTTGCTTGCCTCAACCTTCTATGGTTACTTCAATTGCCAACATTTAAAGACAAATTGGCAATGCAGAAAGATGTGACCATGCAAAGACAATGCTTAATGGCAATGAGTTTTGAAAAGACTTGTAATATAGGGTCCAAAATCTAAGAGAAGAGGATATTCCCCTAGGATGTACGCAACTGGCAGGTGTGTAGTGGAGATCTGGGCTATCTTTCTTCCCAGTCACTGACTATATTTCCACCTAACTATGGGGAATATGGGGAATCTTTCTGGGAAAATTATGCTCTTAAGTGTGAGGCACCTGCTGAGTCCCTAACTTTATCCAGGAAGCGTAGGCATGTGCTTCTTATTGCCTATTGACTCAGTGAATGTGAGACAGAGACAGTGAACAAAAAAACACAAAGGGTAACTTAAAGGGGATATACCTTGGCCGTTAATTTAGGAAATCAAAAGGTAACTGTAGAAACACTGAGCTAGCAATCTTTGATGCTCTCATTATTTGAAGGTTTTTAATTTTATCCAGGTGGCTTGTATTCAACCTGACAAGTCATGTAGCGATTAAAAATTGGAATGCTGCAACAACAGTGTTAGAATTAGGATCAGTGACTAGTTTAACTCTCCCTGACAAGGAAAGCCTGGCAAATGACTCAGTTCCAGCCAGTAGGGAATCTTCAGCCTGACTGCACACTACCAATGAGTACTGACAAGTCCCATCAAGACAGCAAACGTGGGTCTAACAGATGCACTTACAAAAGTTTCCGCTTCTTGCCTTCCTTGCTTCTCTGCAGTTTGTTGTTGGACCATGTAGGAAACTGGGTTTTGAAGCTTCAGGGTGTAGATTATAGGAAGATATTAGAGAATTTGAAAAAGTATCTTAAAAGAACCTATTATGGAAATAAATAAATTGATTTTTGAACAGGTTTCCCCCTACTCACCCCTATACTTGCAGAACAGATGTCTTTGACAGAAGTGTTTCAAACTTGTGCGGCTTAATATCTATGTTATCACAATGACTGATTTTCTGTATCCTTGGAAAGCATCTCACTAGACACCTAAGAGATAAAAACCATGTGACATTTTGAAATAAACAAGCTCTAGAGGTGGTACAATTAACACTCAATCTGTCATCCTGCATGTAAGGCAGAGCCTCAGACCAACAAAAGATATTTAAAATAAGGGGTCTACTGGTCCACAGCCTAAACCCAATGTTTTAGGTTCATAATGAAGAAACTAAGAGGCAAATAATACCCTCCTGCTGCTAAGGAGATTTCCCTGTGTGAAGGGAGGAGTGGAGGCAGAGTTTGGGCAGCCATGGCATGGGCTTTGTACTCCCTGTGCAAAATGCAGTTCGACTCTATGGCAGTTCACCACAAGCCATTGTGCTGCAATGTTTACGGCAAGTGGGGGAGACAGATCTTCCTATGCTCTCGCCACCCCTTTCTGGGGATGTGGAGGCTGTTTAAGTCTTCTGGCTAATGTGTTGGCCTCAGAGCAGCTCTGCTATAGCTCTATGTCTATTGGGGAAGGATTATTTTCCTCTGAGGACTGCTGCAGATCCCTTCTGCTCAGCCCACTTGCATGGCAATAAGATCTTAGCCTAGGCAGAACCAGGAAGCATGCACTGATAACGGATCCTAGTTAGAAAATATCAACAAAAGTGAAATTTTGACCAAAAAATGGAAACAAAATTGTGAGAAAATATGGGCCCTTTGTTGAAATATGCTCTGTCACATAAATGATGGCATGTTACAGATCTGTAAAAAAACTAAAAACAAAATGCTGAGTAAAGAGTACCCCATGAGGGGAGACAAAACCCTGTTAGCCAGTAATTTAAATGTTTTTGGATGGTCTGATGCATTGAAGCTCTAGTCTTCACATCCCTGTTTCTCAATGCCCTATGATTTCTGAGTAGGAAGCAACAGGACTGATGCAGAGGAGAACTGCAGGGGTGTCTCATGGAGTTTTAAATACAAATTAAGAAGCCAAAGGCCAGCTAACAGCTGCCGCTGAGCCAAGATGGGAGGAGAAGAGTCAAAGAAGAGATAGGAGAGGAGTGCTGGGATGGGGTCTCTTGGTGGGTGAGTATTATACAACTGAGGAGACAGGAGCATGGTAATGGTCCCCCTTGTGCTGGAAACAGAGCATGTGAAATTACTGGTAGGCTGCAATGTTGTGCTACTATGACCCTTCTCAGATTAGTTATATACCCTTTTAAAAACTCCTCACAGCTCAGAGCTCATAAATTGGCAGAGGCCAGTCTTAATGCATTAAAACAGCAGCCTAGAAGAAGTCATGTATAGGTTGCCACCTCATATGACAGAAATGTGCAGGTCCCCACCAACCAATCTTCAGAGACTCACCCCGGAGCAAAAGAACATAAGGGAAACCCTGGGCACATGTAATCTGAATGCTGACCACAACAATAAATAAATAAAAATTAAGAAATTGTGGGTAACACCAAAAGCAGGAGAGCTGGAATGAAACAAAAAGGTGTCCACAGATCTTCAAAACTCTAGGATTCAAATCACAACTCTGTAATCCCACTTCTAACATTCATTGTTTGCTGAAATCCTTCATGTGAAAAACTCAGGAATGGTGAAGGAAGAAGTCTTGAAAGGCTTGAGAGCAAGTCTTAATATCCTTTCTCTTTCCCACTTCTATTTTATTATTGATTGAAACTGGCGAATAACGATGCCGTTATAGGGAGTTACAAGTATATGCAGAGTCTTAGGGCAAAGTTCTTCTGCCTTTGCTTCGGCTTAGCAGTACCCTCCTGTGTGAGCAGTCCTGCTGAAGTCAGCAGGACTACTTGCAGAGTGAAAATACTCCGCCTTGGATACGATACGGCTCATAATTTAAAATGTAGAAAGTCTCAGCAAGTGAGGTTTTTACATACTGTTCTGCATGTTGCCCTTTTTTGCGTTCCATTTTCAGCTTATTTTAAAACTGAGCCAACTGAATTTTAAATATTCTCAATTATCATCGCAGCAATTCAGATTACAGGAAAATGGCTAGAGTGTTAGAGGGGAATGGGGTATAAGAAGCCCTATTCAAAAGGCTTTGGCCTTGAATCTCATGTAGTCATTTAGACTGTGCAAAGTGGGCACGGCATTCTACCCTCCTCGTTAGATGGCATTTTTAATCATTTTCCACCACAGTGTAAGTCACTGCTACGGACAATCAGGCCCATTATTTCTATTGTTCCAGGCTAGGCCTAGGTAAAGTATTAAAGGTTTGCAGCCTTTCATTTAAGAACATTCATTTCAGGAGACTTATCATTATTATTTATATGTTCTCCAGAGCAAAGGCACTGATACGATGGGATGCCCTGGTTCAATCACGGAAGTGGAAAGGTTTCCTGCATCTGATCCTTCTGTGTGGCTGCATGAGGCCATTACAGTCTGGCCCTAGGAATTAATACTCTGAGCTGGCTTGTGCTTCATATACAGAACATTCTTCATGGTCTAATCTAATTTGGCCCTGAACCTTATGCGTGTATTTAACTGTAAGAATGTGAATAATCTATGAAATATGCTGGCCATATTTCTTTAGGAAGACAAATCCATTGCTATGTCATTTGTGGACTGCAGGAAAAAAATAATCATGATTTAGGTTTAGTGTAGGTTTGAAAGTACCATGAATGAAATCCTGGCTCTCTTTAAATTAATGGCAAAATTCCATTGAGTTCACTGGAGCTAGGATTTCATCCCATATTTTTACCTAAGTATGAAAGACAAAATTACATAATTAATTGGCTGTAATTTGGGGGGTATGTTTTTAAAATTGTAAATATGAATTCAAATGTCCATTATGAAAGTGTCATATCTGAAAAGCATCTATAAAAGAAATCACCATGCACATTTTGGGGCAAGTCAAAGACTTTTTTCTTCAATCAAGCACCGACCAATCAAGAAAGAGTTAAACAAAACTTTGGAAGGTATATTAGTCATAGCAGTAATCTCTTTATATATCAGTGGGTCAATAGTTCAGTAAAAGAAGGAACTATAACTTGAGTAGACACTAATTAAAAGAATCAATTCTTATCCTACTACATATGTCCAGTCATATTAACACATTTCTAGATTTCTTACTCAGTGGACTAGTCAAGATTAAAGGATTTGCTAATATGGATGAACTGAGTATGCTTCCAAACTGACTGAGCAGATTTGTGAACAAATTAGTTCATTTAAAATTGACAGTGAAAGATTGATTTTGCACAGACTGAGTTACCTAATGTATTCATCATTCCCTCTGCTTCCATGCACAAGACAGATCTGCTTCTTTTTCCTTCTGATTGTAGTAGGACTGCTTACTGGGCACCTTTATTTTACAGCCATTATCGCAGCCTGTCATTCTTTTCATTTAAATTTATTTTAGCCTCCATAGTAGGAGCTTCAGAAATAACTTCTTTAAAAGACTCAGCATAATGACTCATTTCATGAGTTGCTCAATTCAACCATAGTACTTTAAATTAGAATGGAGGGTGGAAATTGCTAATTACACAGAAAAAGATCAAATTACTCTCGAGGACCATTTGATTCATTATTAAGATTGTTTGTGGGGATATGGGTGTCTGTAAACATGGGGTTATGTCCCCACTTACAGTTATTTACATGTCCGCATTTGCCAAAAGTTATCATTGAATGAAATCTGAGACATCAGTGTTTTCACATACAGACTAGATGTAGATTCCCAAACTGTGATCTGTGGGCACTTTTTGGTGGCCCCTGGAGAACTGACTAATCAGATAGGGCTTGATTTCAGTTGCTAAATTCCTTTAAATTGCTAAAACAACACAAAATGCTTTCCTAATATTTCTTTTCCGTATCAACATTTCCTTGGATGTAATGTGAATGGAAAGAGAGCTGGATCATGGAGTCAGGAAGGATTGGGAAGGATGATCCATGAGATCACCTCTCTATTATTAAAACATGGTCCATTATTTAACCATTCTGTCATCTTGCTTTTGATTCACATGGATTCACACCCTGTGGTTTAGCTTGCAGTTTACAGTATGGGGGTGAATTAAACCCAAAGTATATGCCATAACAATCAAGTTTGGCCATGTGTTAAGTTTAAGCCATGTGAAGTTGCTGAGATTCACCTACTTTCAACTCAGAACCTAAAACCATTCCTGGACCCTATGGAGAAGGTGAAGTTTCATGCCACATATGGCCCATGTTCATTAGAAAATCAACAGGGTTCACTTGATAGGATCCAAAATCTCACTGAACCTGGCCCGAGTTTCACGTTTGTAGTGAAACCTGAAACCAGATAAACTTCACCTAGAAGCAGGAAGGTTTCCAAAAGATACAGGATAGTATGCCTTAACAATTTGTCCAGATGAAGGTGTTAATACTCTGTGTGAAATTAGATCAAATTTTGATTTAATTTTATTGGTGGAGCGGTTTATGCCAAAGCTAACAAAGAGGGAGAATAAAATACGGAAAAGATGGCAATTCTTCTGGCAGTTTATAGTTTGCAGCTATGCCATCAGTGAAGTGGAATAATTCTAAGAGCTCCCAATGATAATAGTTCTTTTTTACATTTAAAATCTGCTCACTGATTATGACATTTTTGAAGGATATTGTTAACTACTCCTGCATTGTGAGCATGTACATTTGTACACATAGCTCCATAACTGCGGACACAAATTTAGTAATTGCACATTTGCACTCACTGGCTTCCTATTTGTGCACATTTACCCCACTGGTGCACACAAATGCCAATCATTTGTTTGGGCATGTGAATAGTGACCCTCACAAATATTGTAAACACCAATACCATTAAGGAGGCTTTTCAAAAATATGTCCCTTAGGGATTTCATGACGACTTCATGCCCTCTTTTCACAATATACTGTATATTATATTTCTTGGGTTTAGAATGAATAACAGGGAGCAAATAATTTGACACATTTAGCCTATTTTTTCTTCTCTGGATGCAACTTATGAACAAGCAGCTTATTTGTCTAATATATATTATTTGTAATTTGAAAATATTTGCTGAATAATTTGGGTGAATAATTCTACAACTGTAGCTTGCGCATAAGTACATTGCTACAAATATTCAAAGCTAAAATTCAAACTGTAAGAGACATATTACATGATTTTGTTTCTTTTCTCCAAATAGATGAGGGGAACTTGTAAAATCAAGTTCCTGGGGCAAAGACTCAGCACAAGTTCTGTGTGAACATCCGGCAATATTTGCTTAATTAATATCACTCTCTCTGAGAGCATTCCTGCGAGTAAACCCATTTATTAGAATATTTGTGGAACAAAAACATAACATAACATGGGCATATTCAGAGCAAATTCACATGAAACTTCAACTAAATAGTTGCAGATTTTTTGGTAGCATTCATCTAATTCTATCTGTTTTAATCTGGTTATGTTACTGGTACAATCCATTAAATATATATTGCTTTCAGAACATGCACTCTTCTGCAGTCATATCCATCCTAGTCACCCTCAATCCCATATTTTGTATGATGTGTCAGCCACGGCATTTTCATTCAACGCCTTTTGTCAGTCTATGCCTCTCTATACTTCTCTATTATATTACCATCATTATCACTTAATTTACTGCATCTGTTCATTACTTCTTAATTCCAGTTCTCTTTTCTTTAACTCCACTTCATACCATTCATTGCTGTTTCTTTTCTGCTTGTATCAGAGTCTCCCTACTCAGTTCTGTTGAGCATATATTTTTTATTCTACGGAACTTCTCGCTGTCAAGATGCTCAGTGTTGCAGTATTTGTAATGAATATTAATAGGTAGCTTAGGTTTTTTTAAATGTAGTAGGGGGAAGCAATGAGAATTCTCTGAACTTTGCTCTGCGGTTGTATGTGAGACCAAGACACAATGAAGATACTCTCCCCATTCACCTTTGGTGATTGTCTTTCACAGTTCGATTCTGCCATTTCACAAGCCTGTTGGCTCTAGTGTTATGTGCCCTGGAAAATTGTTGTCTGGCACCTGTTAATATATTTCCTCACTTATCTGATTGACGAATTCCCTGCCTTGATCATTGATTTGTATGGAGACACATGAATGTCTGATGAATTCAAACAGAACCCTTCAACACTTTCAGCTAGTTTATCCTGTAGGGGTTTATCTTCAGTGCGTTTTGAGAAGTAATCTTCAGCTGTTACCAAATATTTGTATGTGTCAGGGTCAGCAGTGAGAAAACAAATATCACCATTAATTTGTGCTGTATAGTGTTCATACCCTGATGACCCCTTAGTGGCACTCTTATTAATTTACTTGTACTTGATCACACCCTCTAGATCACTTAGATTTTACACACTACCTCAGATTAGCATATAGCCAAATCCTGCAGTACTTACTCAGGCAAAACTCCAAGTGTATCTAGTACTGAATTCAGCAGCATCCATGGAATAGAGTTCATAGAAGCTGAAAGGGAAATTCAGCATCACAGCAAGCAAAGCAGATCCTAAGGTGGGGGAGCATTCTCCATGCAGGCTATATAGTGCTTTTGCAACAATCAAACTTCTGTCTCTTCCCACAGACTGCTCAGCCTAACTGTTGCATATGATAGTTGAACACTCTGAAGTGATGTCAGTGGAGCATCTGAACATGTACAGTGGCTCTCTGATGACCCAGTAAAGAGACAGTTTCTTCCATTGCTGACTGACATGGCCTTGGCCATTCCTTGCCATTTGGCTCTGGAATGCAGGTCAGCAGGGAGAAAAGCCAGTGTTTCTTGGGGCAAAGAACCCTACTTGCCCTAACCCATAATGCTTCGGGGGGGAGTGATTCCCTCTCATCTCCAGCAAGATACGCATATGTTCTTTTCCTTTGGAAAGAGAATGGGGACCCCTCTGTGGCCACGGCATTCCCTCTTGCTGGAGCTGTACAGGTGCTACGGAAGCCTTGAACACTCTGCAGTCCCGGAGGAAGTACAGTCAGATTGACACATGCGCCTGTTTAAGATGGTGGAGCTTTTATTACTTGGGTTCTCTCTTTGTATCTACAACATCTATTCATAGAGTGGACTCATGAGTCATTGCTTGTGAGAAGTTCCTTGACTCAGTATCATACCAATATGTGATTTCCCCAAAACATAGTTCCCTTGGCATACTGGTTACTCCTAATTGTCCAGCCCAAGGTATGGCCTTAGGTTCCCGCCAGGACTTCACAAAGAGCTGTGCTTCTCTCGGTCACCCCAATCTGGCCCTGCTTCTCCATTGGAAGGGCTACCTGAACAGCATGTGAGCCTAAAACAAGCCAGCTCCTGTCCAGTTTATAGCAAAATAATAGGGGACTAATTTAGATAACGACAAACTCTCCCCAGACCCAAACTTCAGTGCAGACTAACCAAAAATCCACCTGTTTACAAACATTTTCATGAAAAATAAAAATGTTGTCTCTTCAAACCAGCTGCCACTTCAGTGCAGATGCAAATTAGTGACTATTCTGTTCCATTCTCCCTTTCCCCCTATAGATGGCACCAAATATTTCTCACTGGCAGCCCTTCAGTAACAGGTTCTAAACACCTCACATAAAAGAGCTTTTAATGTCAGTTGAAACCACTGGCTGTCCTACTTTATCATTATAGAAACAGTTTTGATTTTATTGAGAGTGGAAGGGTACAGGAGTGGGAGTTGACGCTGCATAATGAATGGTGAAACAGCTTTCTGGTGTGATCACAGCCATGAAAATATCAGGGTCTTTTGCTTATTTGTTTTTTGCTTGGAGTGTTATTTCTATTTGGTGCTCATAGAAAAGAAGGACTTATAGCAGTGGTGGGCAACTTGTGGCCCATCAGGATAATCCGCTAGCGGGCCATGCGACAGTGTGTATGTTGACCATCCACCGGCACAGCCACCCGCAGCTCCCAGTGGCCGGGAATGGTGAACTGCGGCCACTGGGAGCTGCGGGCGGCTGTGCCTGCGGAGGGTCAATGTAAATGCTGTCTCATGGCCTGCTAGCGGATTACCCTGATGGGCCGCAGGTTGCTCACCACTGACTTATAGCAGGAACACTAGCTGAAGCCAAACATAGTGTGACAACTGGTGCTCTGCAAGATTTCCCACACTGCCCTGGCAACACTTTTCAGTGCTGATCTGAGTTACCTTGGTTCTTTCAGTCTTGGGCCTTTCTTCATCAGAGATTGCTAGTCAGGAGAAATTCCCTGGTGGCTTTGTGATTTGAAGAAACAGATACTATTCCCAGATTTGCAATTTCAACCCAGCAATATATAATGGGCTTTTTAAAATGTTCACCTGTCTTTTCATTCATTGGTTTAAGTCAGCCACAGATCCTTTTACAAAGAACCAAACTCAAGTTAAACAATATTACTGATGTTAAGAGTGGCACTTAAAACCTATAGACACTGTTTCTTTTCAGTAAATAACAAAAAATCCATACCCAGATCCAGGAAGAACACTTGTTGAAACCTCAACTCAAGATGGAACTTTCAATTCACTTGAAGTCTGCATACCAGATACTCATTCATCTGTTACAACAAATAGTCATATGTGATTGGAAAGGCAGGTATGATCCCTGCCATCACCCAGAGACATTTTTTGATATTCACTAGTTGATATTGCCAATGCATTTGAGCTGGGTCAATGGGAAAACTCATGAACGTACATTTCTGGCATGAGTATTCAACTACCTTTTTTCTGTTATTTGAATGGGCGGGGGAAAAGCCCACTAAGGCATCCTGCTAGTCATGTGGTATCATAGGATGATTGTATGCCCCAAACTGAATGGCCATTACAGGCCAGTTGAGGCTTCCTCAACTAGGCAAGTGAATGGTAAACAAATTGGCTACATTCTAAATTTCACAAGGCCATTGCTGTTGAAAGAAGACACTAGTATTCACACTTATCCTCTGCGAGTAGCAGCTGGGAAGTTAGAAATTTTACATGCAACCCACTCTTTGTATTTATTTTAGAACATTGTTCATAATTGTATTTTAATAAAACTTGATTGTCTTGTGTTCCTCTTTGATACATTGTACCTTGTGGGCTAGATCCTCAGTTGATATAAATCTCTTTCGTTATAATTCACAGTCGCTAAAGTGCTGGCTGGCCCTGACATTTTAAATTTAAGTTATGAAAAAGTGTTAAAAAATCTAAATATGTTGTACAGTGTTGCTCATGAACTCTAATTTTACAAGCTCCAAAGCATCTAAGCTTTGAAGTGGGAATAAAAACCTTGATATTGATTTAGTAAACCTCGAAGTCAAATTATATGAATATAAATATGCAGTGCATAGATTTCGTGAATGTTTTCATTCTATGAGATCTTTTCCATGTCAAGCAATCGCATCTAAAAGTTTGGCTCAATCCTGATCCTCTAAAATTCCACCAGCTCTCAGATATTAGCATTTCTATACTTTCTATTTATCACTATACTTAGAATTGTTGCAGTGTGATAGCATTATTTCTAAAGACATAAGTAAGCCTCTTATCCACATGACTGAGGAAGCTAATACAGCGAATCTCTCTGAAATGCACAACCTTAGTATACAGTCAGTGTGTTGCTTTCATTGGGTTTATTCCTTTGAAAGGGTGCCACAACATGTGCAGTCTTGCCATCAATTGGTTCACTACTAGTTTATCCTTTTGACACAATTTTGTTCAACTGGTAAGGCAATCATTATACACTGGCATTTGAGAAGTAGGACTTTATTAATTTAATAGCTTCATTCTCTCATCAGATATTCATTTAATTGGATTTCAGACTAGTATTCATCTAGGATTTGCATAAATGGGAGCATAGGTTTGAACATATCTATACCTTTAGCATATATTTACTTAAGTTGCCCCGCCTCCATCTACTACAGTGTGTATTTTCTCTACTTATGCATAACAGTAATGATTATCTTGCTCTGGGAAACCAGGTCCAGGCTACCAGGAAAGGGTCCTGGTGCTGATGTTACCGAAATATTAAGTTATTGGAATATGAAGTTAGCATATTGTACAGGTTCCTGTCTGAGAGTCTACTAGACCGTTTCATTGTGAGACTTCTGTTTTCATAGATTCATAATTCTGGCAGAACAGTTAAATCTGGGATACATACAATTTACAGAGTAAATGTTTGGAAATAAAACAGTTTTCTTTATCAGTCAAAACCTTGTTTTTATTACCATGTTTGTGTGTGATACTTGTGGGTAGCTAGATGACTCGGGTATTGCAATCATGGATTGCCCTTTTTCTCTAGTTTCAGTTTTTAACCTTTAAAACCTAAATTTAAGGTTATTATACATAGATGTGTGGCCAAAATCCACCTTTAGCTACACACGCACACCCCCACTGGTTTTTGTGACTCTTTAGCATCTGGGATGTCTTCCCATCTCTTTGCCCTTTGCATGTACTCAGCTGTGTTGGGATTTAAGATGAACAGCAACTAGCATAATTTATTTCTCTTTTTGGTGTCTCTTTTAATCAAATCTTTCTCCTTTACATACATGTGTAACACTTATGTATGCATTTATTGTTATGAAAACTGAATAACATTTTAATGAAAAAAAATTAGAAAGGAATTCAATTGCCAAAAAAATTATGAGCCGGGACTGAAATATTCAGCTCAAATAGTTATCCTTAGGACTCACAGAAACACAGACATACACACACATTATATATTAATAAGTGACTAGATACATATTATTTTAAAATTTGTCAACTCATAAATAAATTATCTGGGTGATTTTCAAAATATCAATTTCACCCAGGCTTTTTAAGTCAAATTTCAGCCAAGAGTAAAGTGTCTTGTCAAAATTTTAAACCTATAAAAATAGAGGGTTTTATTTTATTTCATTAATGTTGCATGATTGTCACTGAGGACAGAATTTGGCCCCATATGTTGAGGAAGGATTAGGTCTTCCATGGTTCTGGCTTCAATTAAAGCATCATTATTTAGCTGTACATCATGTTTATGAAGAAAAAACATGAAAGAAAGAGACTATGTTCTGAACATTAGGAAATAGAGGCAAATAGAAAGGTTAAAGAAATCTATTTCATAAAATGGCATACAAGCATGTGGAATATGTTACCAAAGACAAGAGAGGTAACTTAGAACATATGTTTATGAATCAGTATGTTCAAAAGAGAACAAGATGAGTTTCTAGACAAAGAGAGAATAGAGTGTGAGGAATGCAGGAAATTAGAGATGGAAAAAACCCAAAAAGGTCAGTTTTATGAATTGATTAGTAGCTTTTTAACAGAGCAGGGCTGTGAGCAGGTGGAAATCCCACCCTGCTCTGAACAGTATATACATCAGCCAGCATGTAGTCCAAACTTACCTTGTTCCTGAGGTTTTGCTTTATTGGTAGTTGAAACAACAATAGCACAATACAAAATTCCTTTACTGTTCCTAGTGTTTCCCTGTCGAGATATCTATCCCATGTCCTAGGTACCCCTGCCCAGAAGGATGCTCCCATCTCCTTGATATCTTGCAGGAATGACCAACCAACCCCCAGTCAATAAGGAGATTTTACTCAACAAGCTTTATGATGAGCCTAAGAGCTGCTAACAGGGTGGATCAATAGAAGAACCCTGACTTCCTGTTCCATTCCCCACCAAGCCAATACTAAGACATTGTTTTTTGTGTTTCCCTGTCCCTGTACAATCCATCCAGGACACCATTTCAAAGACTCTTATCATTGCCAGAGGCTCCACTTTCCTGCTGCCAAAGGCATTTCCTTTCTGTGCCACAAGCAAGTCTCACGATTTTGAGTGCTCCTAGACTAGAAAAGGGACTTAAAGTGTTCAGAGGCCATCCCCAAGACAATTGGCCAGGGTAAAGATCATAAACCCCCATGACAGGGGGATTACAGCCAAAGGATACGACTGGAAAACCTCCATCAACAATAATGACCTGAAAAAATGTTGCCACTCAAAGGAGATCACTTCTGACCAAACCCTCCACATTAATGTCAGGCTCCCTGCTAGCTGCCTGGGCTTAGTACACATCTGGGAGTTCTGGAGCTCATGGCCCTCTCCAGATACACAGAATTTTTCTTCATGCCCCTGTTAATGGCAAGCAAAAACAGGTGCAGGGAGAGGCTCAGTGTTCCTCTATGTTCTGTGTCCTTTAGGTCCTTCTTTGGAGTTTCTACATCCTTTAATTTTTCTCCACAATATTCCTTCTGACTCACTATCCATTGTAGAATACATATGTGGCCATTGTGTTGTTTCTGGCAATTCCACTTCCAGATACTACTCTGTTTGGTGTGCACCTTTGATCACTTTGGCCTATTTAATACCTTATTATGTGAACTACATTTACTAAAAATTATCACATTTATATAAACCAGACTTTTCTTAAAAAGAAAAGGAGTACTTGTGGCACCTTAGAGACTAACAAATTTATCTGAGCATAAGCTTTCGTGAGCTACATCCGATGAAGTGAGCTGTAGCTCATGAAAGCTCATGCTCAAATAAATTTGCTAGTCTCCAAGGTGCCACAAGTACTCTTTTTTTTTTGCGGATACAGACTAACACGGCTGCTACTCTGAGATTTTTCTTTGTCATTCCAAATGTTGTCCATAAATCAGAAACTGCCATTTTGCTTTCTAAACATGGAAATCTGCTTAAAGCAAATTCATGAAAATTTATGATTTTCCCTCACTCTGGAAATTTGATCATTTGCTTTGTAAAAGGAGTTTTATTCATCAGAGGCACAAATAGCAACATTTCATCCTGGATGAAAAATACTGAAGAAAATACCAATTTTCACATATGACCACTCATAATTCATAGAAGTATACTTACATACATCAGGCAACTTCTGAGTAAGTATGCACTGTCCTTTATTCAGCTGGTGATGCAACACTGCCTATTAATGTGTAACTCTGAAGTACCACTCTCAGAGCATTACTGAGTACTGAGAATCCTGCAGGGTTGACACTGTTGTTCTGCCCACTCCCACCCCAGGCTTGGCCTCTTTTTTCACTCAGGCTAATCCCTGCAGAAGAGCTTCTACACAGATGGGTGAAAAGGAGCATGCCATAAAGTCACACTCCCCATTCCACGATCCCTTTGCTAGCTCATTGCTTTTTGCTCTCCTGTATTTACCTGTGCAGAGGGAAGCAGTAAACCCCAGAATTATGTCCCTGCTATTGCAGCTGTTTAACTGTTCACTAGTGTTGTTGTTCAGTGGGAAACATACTTGATACATTTACCTACATTTGCTGCATTCCTTTAATTGTGTATTGTACCCTATGTATTAACAGTGCCTGTATACCTCTGTTTTGCTTTAGGAACTGTAAGATGGTATATGAGTGTGACTTTTCTTTCAGTGCTATTTCCTGTGTTGTTAAGTGACAGCAGATGGTCTCCCTGAAGTGATATGAGACCTGGCCATGGTCCTACTTGCAGGGGTCACAGCAGTCAGCTGTTCCCTGCATCAGAACGGTTTCTATCTGGGGAATTTATGGAAGATCAGGAATTAGATTTTCCAAAAGCAGTCATATCATCTTCCCATCCCAACCGCTGCCAGAATCCA